CGATAGTTCTTCTTTTATGATATCCGTCACCTTTCCAATTTCATGCTCCACTTCCATCATCAATTCATCTCCTTGTTGTTCAGTATCTTCTCAAATCCGCTGTGGGATTGATTTGATTGGAGCGGGATTGAGTATCTCTACTCGTTGCTCTAATACTTGTAATTCAGTGTTGATACGTTCAATTTCAAATTGATTTGTTAGACTTACACTGAATTCCACCAAAGGTCTTTCGACCCTTCCTGCGTTACAAGGAGCAACCAATACTTCACCTTTGATACTTTTAGCTATCACGTCATTTCTTTGAAGCAATAGCTTTGCTGCTAGAGTTGGATCACTTTTTAACATCCATTCTATTAGCAGTAGTACGTTGTTCCGATTCTGATAGCTTCTTCGGTATACTACATTCAGACATTGATTGAATTTCACTTCATCGTAATTCCATAGTTTTGGAATACTGAATTGGATGCCAGAAATCCATTTACACTTACTTTTATCTTGAGATGCTCGGGTTTCCACAATACACATTACTGCCAATAAAACCAAATTTGTTATTATACGACGAGACTTACTTGAATTTCCTTGTTTTAGTTGACGCTTAACAGCACTTCTCGTTCTAGCTGCAACGGGTTCTTCATGTCCTTATGTTGGATTATCAAACGTTGGTGATTGATTTCTTGAGTTAGGGCTGCTATCAATTTCTAAAGGGTATAACACCTGTTCAGGCATCTTCCATGTGGCATTTCTATAATGGCGTTCCTTATTTCTCCATCTCTACCCTTTTTTACTTCCTTGATCTTGGCCAATTTCCATGTACCACGAGGGACTACCGGTTCATTGACTAATACTATTTCACCCTCACGTGGTATCCTCACTTCCATATTTCGGGCAGAAATATGGTTCCTTTGCGTTCTTTCTCTGAGACTGGTTAAATATTCATTTCTCCAAATCTCCCAGAATATGTCCAAGGCTTTAAGAGTATTGTACCAATACTTAACAAGTTTTTCCTTGTCGCTTAATTTATGAGGGGTAAATTCGTCATAATTGTCGCTGTTGTTAATTGGAGTGACGAGTAAGGCATTGGGGGAGATGAAATCAATTGGGCGAATGATTTCATCAAAGTAAGCATCAAAGTTTACTGTCAGTGGCCGGGTATTAAGTATACCTTCAATTTCCACTATCAGCGCTACCAATTCTCTCCCCCACAGTAGCCTTCTTCCAATAGCTCTTCTTAGAGCCTTTTTTATCATTCCAATGATTCTCTCATAAACTCCTCCACTCCATGGTGCTTTCGGTATGATATTTTTCCAGATCATTCCCTTTTGTGCCAAGAAATTCGACAATATGGTATAATATTCCATAATAATCTTGAAAACCAATTGAAATTGACTGGCGTTATCACTTAAAATTGATTCAGGATAACCTCTTCGGTCAATGAATCCATAGATTTTGAAGGAATAATTTGAATTGGTAGGGACTAAGAATTCCAATGGATCGTATTGAGAGGCGACGAATTGTAGTATTGTCCTCTTTGTCAATTCCGTTCCAGTCCACGGTTTCAGTGTTACCTGTATCGTATCCCTATCATGATGCCATGTGAC